GTGCCTGGAGAAGGCTGTCCCTGAAGACCTGCCAGCTCCTCTGGGATCTGTCACCTTCACAACTGTCTCCTGCTGCATCCAGCTTAGCCAAGGATCTGTGGTGGATGCTGTTTTTCATTACATTAGTTTTGATTTTTTTATATTTTTTTTTTTAATTCAGAAATTCGTTTCAAAAAAAAAAAAAAAAAAGAAGGACTTTCAGAGAAGTCAAAACATATTTGACTGATAAATTCAAAACAAAATGTTCCATAAAAAAGAAAAGTTCTTTTCCTGTTTAGTGGTGTGAATACATGATTTTTGGTTTGATATTCTCATTTTGGGTGAGGGAACCAGAACATATTTCATTTAGGATTGGCATAAAGTGGACATTTTTATTTGGCTGTTATCCTCTTCACCAGATTTCAAAGTGATTTAAGTTCTGAAACTCTGAAAATCAAGCTGCTTTGTCTACGGCTCAGCTTGCCTTTCACTGCTTTCTGAATATATGGAAATGTGTTTTTGATAGAGAGAGGATCAGCTCCAAATCATAAAACTAAATAACCCTTCAAACTTTAGGGAATTCAAATTGCCAACCAGACTTCAATCCTGAGTTTGGTAAATGTCAACACCATTCCTTGGGCAGTGAAGCAGGGTGAAGGAAGTAGCATTAAATAGGATGGGGAGCTGCCTTAATTATGTGAATCAATTAATTTTTTTTCCAGGAGATATTTAACTCAGGAACACTTGGTTATTTCATATCTTGTGTCACTGCTTAGCCTTCTAATCTGGTGCTTTGGTGGGATGGAGAGAAGTAAAAATATAGCTGTTGATTAAACAGCATAGATGTTATTATGTGACTGCAAAAATGCCAGAAAGTTTTTCCATTTGCACTTACAGTTTATAAGTAATCTAGAAATATGCTTTGAGGCAGTGATTTCATCTAAAAAGAATTACCAGTTCAAAGTGTATTAGTGCATGGCTGCTGAATATGTCTTGGCATTAAGGGTTTCTTCATCAGCATTAATTGGATTAAATTACCTGCAGTGAAATATAAGCCCTTTGAGGAAAAACAATTCTTGTCCTGTTGGCTTTTAGAAGCATAAAAGGCGGGGTGGGTGGGTGGGGGTGTGTGTGAAAAACCAAGAGGTGATGTTCAGACAGGCTTTGTTTTAAGACAGAATAAGAGTGAGTTTGAACATAGTGTGACTATGAAATCGTTGCCAGGGAGCAGTGAGAAGGAGCAGCCTTCGGGCTGGAGGGGGGGTTTTTGCTGTCAGACCTCCCAAGTGAAGAGTAAAGCCTCAACCAGGGAATGGCATTGTGGAGCAGCAGTGAGGATTGGGGACTGGTGGCATCAGCAGGACAGCTCAGACCCTATGGGCCACCTCCACAAGGGGAGAACAGGGCAGGGCAACCCAGGCTGGGGGGCAGAGCAGTGATAGGAACGAAACAGCATCAGGATGGTGCAGACACACTGCTTCAGGAGGGTGAGCGTGCCCACAAATTCAGAGTTACCCACTGCCTGGAATAAGGGACATTGATAAGACAGGGTGGCTCTGTGGATCAGCATTGCAATGCTGCCTATTTGCAACTACTGTTACAAAGTTTACGTAGTTTACATAGAACCAGTAACCTGATGTTTCTAACTTGGGTCTGCTATATGTACAAAGATAATCTTCTAAAATATCCCCCATACATCGCCCCAAATATCCTGGCTTTGTTTTGTTTTTTTTTTTCTATAGGTAAAATCTTAAGTCTATATTTGTTGCTCATCTTTACTACTGTGCTTCATCAATGGATAGACACAAACCCCAAACAACAGCACACTGGTGCCTCATTACTATTATTTTAGAAAGCTGAGGGCATGAACTGTGTTACCAGCATATGGAGGTTAAAAAGATGAGAAGGAAATATCTTTTCTAATAAATTAATGTTACCATGGTAGCAGTTGTAAAAACAGTAGGTGTGACCTGATTAATAAGTTTTCACTCAGTGTCTAGCAGAACGTAACCTTTCAGCAAACAGTTCAGATATTGCTAAACAAAGACACTGGGTATGAACAGATCCATCTTAGAAAAAAATATCTTTACGGATAGAGCTTCACCTTGCTACCTGCTTATCATTTGCTTCGTGTTGGCAAAGGGCAGGGCATACAGCTTGAATAACACTGCTGCAGTGACACTCAAGAGCCACTATAATGGCCTCTTCTCTTGAATTGTTTTAGTTGGGCAGGAGCTCAGCCCTGGATGAATATGCCAGTGTTCTTGTGGGCATGCCCAGATCCAATTCCTTCTGACAACCCTTGGCAGCCACTGAGGGTTACTGCAATATTAGGGGGCTAGATATGCTTTTAATCTAAGAGTATGATTGCTATTATTTAACTATTTTTATTACCCCAGACTTTTTTTTCACTGTAAAAGTCCGATGCTTTATGCATGAAATGTATCTTTTCAGGAAAGCCACCAGCTGATTCTGTCACGCATGTTCTTATGCTACTGACAGGAATTTCCTTACCTGTACATCAGTTCACACTTACTTTGCTGTGTAGCTGACCACATATTTCATAATGCCACATGTAGGGTCAGTTAATTCTGACAATCTGATGCTGTCAGAACATTTTGAAGCTTATGAATAATGACACCCAGACTTGTACAGTCATTGGTCAGTGCAGGAAACCCTGTGAGTCTTTAGTTTCAAATGCCACTGTGGTATTAAATGACTGGCAGAGGTGAAGGCAGGCTGTAGAACAGAGGTTACGAAAAACCATTAATTAAGATTGATAGTTGCCTGGTGAAAATCCATGTGTAATGCTCATTGACGTAATTTCTCTCCATTTTCCGCAATTTTCACATTGAATATTGCAATTAAACCACACAGCTAAAAGTCTTCACTCCTACCAAAAACGCCTTTCCATGAAGCTTCTTCACACTAACTGTATATCACATGCTTTCTTTCCTGTCCATAATGTTCCTTTTTTTCATCTTTGAAAAACTCCCTGAAAAAATGATGCATTCTGGCTCCTTGTAATTCCTGTCTGAAATACTGAATAGTAGCTGTTAGATGGGTACTGTGAATGTGCAAGAAATGGCTCCATAAGCCCAGAGATAAACAACAGGAGACAGAATTGCCCTACAAACAATATCATTTTGAAATGAATGTCCATTAACCTACAGTTAGGTGAAATCGTATTTAAAGTGTTTGTCTTACTAAAGTGTGTTGCTGAAGAAGCCAGCTGGGGTGTAGCTGAGCACTCTAAGAGTTTCTTCATGTATCGCAGACACTTAGTTGGAAATGGTTTGATTATTGCAGGGCACACTTACGAGTATTGTGACTTGGGAAGCATTGATTTATTTGCTTGGTTTACACCTGAAAAACAGTTTCCCAGGGAACAAAGTACAGTCGTTTGTGTGGGGAAAAAAAAGAGATCAGCCCAGAGCCCAGATGGGCTTCTGTTGGAAGTAGAGCTGGCTGCACTCCTGTTGTATGATCCATTGTAAAATCCTGGTTTCAGCTATTTGTAACTTTGTTGAACTGGAATAACTTACATCGAAATTTTTTTCAAGTGATGTATTTGGAAAAATCTTTCCCATATTTTGGAGTGGTGTGGACATAAACAGTAAAGTGTAGGAACATCCCAGGTTAAGTAACACTGGGGCCACCACTCTTGAACGTACACCACCAATTTCTCTTACTCACAATTTGAGGTAATCTGGATCTTGCTCTGCATGCCTTAAGGGTGCATCCCTTTTTGAAAATTGTGCATCTACAAGTGCTATGACAGTGAGGTGTTTGATCATCCAGCTGTGATTATCTAAGGCAGCTGTGTTGCAATATATTCTCAACAAGCAGAGGAACTGATGTGTATGGAAAGTTTTTTTTCTGACAATTAGAAATGGTGAGTAGAACCATGTATGATCGGTAATGAAATCAAAAATGTTTCCACGTTATGGCAGTAATGACACTGGAAAACTTAATTCAGGCTCACATCTTGTTGAAATCATGCATTTTTAACTAATAGTTATGTTCCCAATACAACTGTTTTTGTAAAAAAACTAAGGGACCCAGAAGGTAATCTTGTGCATTTGCTCATTAGATATTTTTGAAATAACATGCTTGATTTTGCCTCATTTTTTTTTGGCTTGAATTTTTCTATTACGCCAAGGCAGAGCTGAGAAGATGGGATTAGGCCCATCCATTGAGGCCTGCTTGCTTGTATTGAACATGGGACAGGGAAAATAACTGCAATTTGATTAATTCTCATGAAGCCTACTTCAATTGCTAGCTGAAACCAGCCACCAGCAGGAACTTCACGACTTTCCTCAAACCTAAACTTCCAAATACCTTGTGATAAGTATTTACTCTTTTCATCCAGTCCCACGTGGTATTTGGAGACCAACAGAATACAGTCTCCATGTGAGAAATGGTCCAATTTTGTCATGGCTTCGGCACTAGCAGTTCCCACTGTGAGGCACAAAGCTTTCTTTGCATCAGAACAGCTCTGCAGGTCATGTGCAGGCTGTGGGGATGCATGCTGGAGAACACCTCTGGTGCACACAGGAAGATATGATCGTGGGGCACTGGGGTGGCGTGAGTGATGACCTTCAGCAGATCAGTCGTCTCAGAAAAAGGCAGAAGTTGAAATTCTGGTAGAATAATTCCCACATCTACTGCCTGAGCCTTGAAAACTTTCGACTTGCTTGAGGTGGGCAATAATAATCTGACCAAGCATTCTGAAGGAAAAAAGGAGAAGCACGTACTGTTCTGTAAGGTATCTTTCAGCAGTTTTTCCAACAAAACGTGATAAATTTCCTAAAAGCCTGTATTCAAGGAACAGAATATTTTGGTTGGAAATACACTGTACTATTGTTTGAACTAAGAAGTTTGTGAAATAAGGGAGTCAGTACGGGCATTAAAAAACTTGCCACTAGTTTGTTTTTCTGTTTGTTTCTTCCTCCAGGAAAAAAAAAAAAAATGTCTGATGCGAGCTAACACAACTTCAACCATGACTTCTATATTTTCAGGGATTAAGCACCTGAAGAGTCAGAGTGAATCAGCATTTCCAGAGGAAGAAGAGGGAGTTGGTGAAAGGGAAGAGGAGTGGAGTCATTAAACAGCACAGAGCTGCTTCGAGTCCTGTCACGGAGAGTAACTGAACTGCACAGCCGTGCGTGTGTCAAACCATTCGCCACCGCTTGTGTCCCCGCACCACAGCACTCGGTGTGCCGGTGGCTCCGGGGCTCCCTGGGGAGCACCTTGGCTGGTTTTCACAGCCACCTGCAAATGTGTTCTGTGACCCTTATACCCGAAGATAAAAAAAGTTATTTTAAAGTCATTTTTCTTTCATTTTCTATGACTTAGAAATGTTATTTGCAAATGTGTTAGCGACCTGATGTCAGTACTGCCAGAGCTTTAACTATTGTGTGTGAGCTGTACTCTAAGGCCTGTTGTAAACAAAACTGATTTAAAAGCTACAAAATAAATATGTTCATTTAGACAAGATTGTATATTGTACAATGGGTTTGTCTAGTGTGCAGAGAAATGTCCGTATAAAATTACCTTTTCAGTTAAAGGCAGCTTTTACCACTATTGTTAGAGTTGCAGTAGCGTAGATAGAAATAAAGTGAGCAGGGGTGACTCTTAGTCTGGAGAAGGATGCAAAGACACTCATTCTTCCCTGTGTTCCCTGGATATGCAATGCTTAAAGTACTTGTCTTGCTTTTGGTCTGCAGCTGCCTAATCACATCAGCCAAAATGATTTCTCTTTATGCAAGACCATTGTTATCTGGAGGCATTAGAAAACATTTCGATTTAGGAGTGAGAAGAAACACGGGAGTGAGTGAGACCTATGAGCAGTATCATACATACTAGCTGAGCTGCAGGCAATGCTGATATTCACCTTTGGCACCTGCAGCAAGAACAGGGTACAGCCTTCTCTGAGAAACAGGTCCAGACTACTCTGTGTTTGTCACAGTTTCAGCCAGTAAATGGTAACTTATCAAGCTGCAGTGGTTTAGCATGTGTCTGAGCCCTAGGTTTTTTGGTTGAAGTTTGTCATCGTTCATACCAACATTTTCATTCGTTATGCCATAGAGCTAAGATGAAGGAAAACCATGTTTCTTCAAAGTTGCGCTTGACAGATCATTTCCTTTTTTATCAACGGCTACTTTTTAAACGAATTCACTGTCATTTTGTATAAACTCTGCCTTTGATACAAAGTTTTACCCTTGTTTAACATTCCAGTGCTTTAGGTCTCTTATAAAGGGCTGAGCTAGCAAAGAAAAAAAAACACCACACAAAAACTAGATGAAGTGTGTGAAAACATAGAGCTTTTTCTATGCCTCTCATGGTGATTTCACTCTTAATCCAAGGTCTTTCCATGAAGACCTGCTGAGAACAGGATCTGTCAACAAGTGTTTCTTTGTATTTGGGAGCCATCTTTTTGCCCTCCATCTGTGTCTCTGTATCAGTCCTCTTTGTTGGCGTTTTCTGTAGAAACACTGCAAACAGGACCAGTGACTTCAGCTCAGCATGGGTATGCAAGGAGAACTAAGAAGGGCTCTTCAGGCATACAGAAGCTTCTACAGGACTTATGGGACTGAAGGCTTCTTATGCCACAAATGACAAAAAGAAGGAAGTGACCCTTCAGAAACCACTTGAATGGCCCAAAGTTAAGACTGGAATGGTAGCAAGAAGAGCTGGGCTCTGGTCCCAGCTTTGCCACAGTTTTGCTTTTGCACAGCACCAGGCTCTTCACATAGTCGCTTGTTGCCACAGTATTCCCAGAAAAAGAGTCATCAGTGTTTAACCTCACACTATCTGAGAAATATCCGTGTTGCTTGCTAATAAAATGCTTTTGATATTAACAGCTTTTTGTTGGTTGTTAGTACCCACAGGCCTCAGGTGAGGACTATCTAGGACTCATGGGCAAATGAAAAAATGTATGTGATTTATAATACTTGATACCAAGACAAGGTATCAAACACTTTGGAATCTCATCATTTCAAAGGCAACACAAAACACCTGACAAGAGCTTGGAGAATTCATCACTGAACAGCCTGTTTTAGGATGACTGTTGGACTTGAGGATGATTACACTTTATAAATAATAGGGAAAATAAATAAATAAAATAGGTTTAGTTTGAACTGTATCCGAGTGTTTCCAGGATTGTTACTGTAGCAACAAGAGGACAACAATTTTGTTTTACAGCCATGATCTGGATGAAGCATCAAGGTCTGATAAGAGCCTCAGATAGCCATGCTAGTACTTAGATACATCTCTAAATACAGGTTTTATCATGTTCCCATCTCTAAATATTCCATCTGTGTTTTATAATTTTAAAAGTCTATTTTTTTCTCTCTTTCTTGACCCAAGGTTATGCAAGCAGCATGTCTGAGTACAGAAACAGACCCCTTCTTTCTGGCAAAGTGACAGGACTTGTGGCAGAGATTTTACTATGGATCCACCCTGACATCACTGGCTGGTGGGACTAATCTGAAGGACAAAGTGAGGATGCACATTTTTTTATACTTCAGCCATTTTTAGCTTAAAAAGATAAGCAAACCCTGTTTGTCTGATCTTCCACTTGTGAGGCATACACTAAGTGGAGCTATAAGGAAAGAATCAGTAAAACAACAGAGCCCAGAAAAGGGTGCTTGTCATGAAGCAGAGCTGAAACACTCCAGCGGATTGTCAGTGAACCCCATGACAGAAATATCTGAGTGTGGGGCAATCAGAAAGGAAGGTCATGAAAAGCAGTCTGTTTACTGAACTAGGTCTTTGCTGGCATTTGACACAGACTCTGACATTTAAAAACAGCTGCCTTTTAAGATGGAGAGCCTCTTGTATGCTTTGAAGTGTCATTGAAAGCTCTGGATGTATCACAGTATGGTGAACTCCACATAGGTACACTTGAATGATGCAGATCTCTTTGTGGGAGTCAGTGGTTAATCATTGCTGCCCAATGTGTTTATGTGACCAAAAGCATGAATTGAAACAAAAAATATCCATTAATATAATCTGTTGTTTTAGTGTAAACAAATCAATAGAGGATTGAGAAAGTAGACAAAAAGTTAGTGAACACCAAATGTCTCAAAGAAAATGCCAACATGAAAATGCCTTAAAGGAAAACTGTGATGACATGTTCCCTGTTTGAGCTGTCTCCTCTCACAATACCTGCTCCTGCTGGTGAGTCTTACAGGTTTGGTGGGAGCACCATTTTTAGACATGTGTTGTGTTAGTCCATTTTCCACAAACAGGCTGATGGAAAAAAGAAAGCAGAAAAAAAATACCCAGGCAAGGAATTAACATAGTTCTTTCTTAATGAGAAACTCTGATTTGTGTCTTTTCCCCTTCCCCGCTCTGTGTTCTTAAATCTACCACCTTTCCATGCTGTGGTGTGTTTGCTGTTGTTCTTGCTTTCAAGGTACTGCAGGAAATGTTATTTGCAGAATTGAAAGGAAACCGTCTCCTTGGACTAATCTCAGTCTTTTCCCAATATCCCTTAACTCATTAACATACAGTGGTTTAAAGGCATTTTGTTATTGCGTTTTACAGCCTTGTTTCTTTTACTTATGCTATACTTGTTATTCCATGACAGGTTCTTCCCTTCAGAGAGATTTATTGAGACATTGTGCTAAGAAGTTATTTGGAAAAATTCCATGATTTGACTTACAGGATGGTATATGTTGTTTATTTTCCAGGTGCAAAACCAGATAACACTTAAATAGATACAAAGTAAGAGCCAAGAATTGGAAGTCTTTCTGAAGCATAATTTCCACTGAAGTCCAAGGAATTTACTTGAGAATGGTCACAGGTTCTGGCCAACATCATGCTTTCTTTGGGACAATATGATATGTAGTGTACAGAAAAGCTTCTCTTACCCTGCTATCAATCTAATTACTGAATTTCTTGCGTTTTTTTAAAAGATTACAATAAATGCTGTTGAAGTCTTCAAAGAATACCGACTGTCTTCTCATAATGTCATTATTTCTCCCCAATAATGTAAACTGAAAAATCACCATTCATTCTCACACCGCTGGTGTTATTGAACCAAAGCTATCGCATCCAGCACTACTGTGTCAACTGCAAGGCAGGGCTGCAGGCAGAGGCTCTGCTGCCCGTGCTTGTGCCCGGGACTCCCACAGTGTCCCTTCCTTACCAGGAAGGGACTTCCAGTCTGTCTGCACTTCCTCTAACAGGCTACAATACCGAGGGCCAGGTCAGTGGTGGCTGTTACCCTTTAAAAAAATGTGTTTATTTTATTGCACAAGGCAAACTGTTGGGCGACTGTCCACACTCTCTCCAGAGCTGGTCTGGGTAGGCTACAGTGCTGCAGGTGGTTGGGGAGGGACATAAGTGGGGCTCCTGCAGGCTATGGTGCTGCTTTTGTATGAGCCTAGCAGCTGGCACCATACGGTGAAATGTCCCTAGCTCAGTGCAGGGTTTCACCCCCCATTTTCTTTCTCTCACAGATTGAGACACAGGGGGTTTTATGAGGGACATTATAAAGAACCATCTATCCCCTAACCCTGGGGATGCAAGGGCATATTTGAAACATGCTGTCCTTAAAACTCTGCTTTCTTCCTCTCCTATGGCATCCACGTTGATGCTCAAGCCCACAGCTGTTCTATTTTCCTTTTTTCTTTTTTTTTTTTTCTGTTTTTTTTTTTTCTTCATCTTTTTCTTTAGCAGCTCAGTGCAACGGTGAGTTGCAGTAAGAGTTTCAGTTGTTCTGTTGGTTCCTGACATGTGCAATTGCATTTGACCTTTTCATGCAGAGCATTATACTTGGCAACAAAGTGGATGCTAAATGCCTCCTATGCTTTACTGTATTCTCTCCTTCATCCTCCAGCAAAGATAGCAGCACTTTGGGCAAATCTGAAGCAAGATATTTGTGCACCCTCTGCTAAACTCAGGCTACTTGGTAAGATGTTACTAATTTCCAGTTACAGCAAATTGGCTGATGGAGTTTATACAAGTTCAGAGTCCATATTTCTGCTACAGGGTTTTTTTTGAGTTTTGTTTTGGTTATGAAATGATACGGGCTGTTTAGGGCAGAAAAAATATTTCATACTACTAGGCCAGACACACTCAGTTTCAATTTTGTAATGT